TGGGGTTGTTAACCAATGTCATAAAACAGTATGTGTACTGACTGTTTAATGAGTAACTATTTGTTCTGTAAACCTTCATCTAAAGTACAATAAAAAAATTTTTTAAAAAAAGAATATAAAATATGTTACTCTTGGTCATGTGAAATTTATCTAAAATAAGACAGAGAGAGAGAAAAAAAAAAAAAGAAAACAATTTTAAAGGAGTATAGTCTTGGCATAAGCACCAGTAGCAAGGTGGCAGACCAGTGAGAAAGGAGAGTGGGTACATTTGCTACCCAACTCATGTTCTGTTATAGCCGAATATCACGATAAGTAAGCTGTGATACTTTTAAACTCAAAGGTCTCTACTCACAAAAGAAACATCCTAAAGGAAAGTCAACTCAACAGCAACTATGAGGCAAAGGGAAATGAGCATGAAAAGTGGGTTCCAACTGTCAATAGGAAATGAGCAATTACACAAATTACCTTTTCTATTACCCTTTTGTGTTGCCTTCGAGTTGGTTCCAACTCATGGCGATCTTATGTATAACAGAATGAAACGTTGCCCTGTCCTAAGTCATCTTCATGACCAATGGTATGTTTGTATCCGTTGGACTCAAACATTACCTTTTACTAGATTTTATCACCAGTTGGGCAAAGCAGCGTCTCTGGGTACCAGCTGGCTGATGTAGAAAGCACTGATGCAATTTTTTAAAAAAACCCTGAAGTTGAAAAATCAGGTTGTAGTTGTGATACTACTACTAACTCTTTGGGTGGCCATGGACAATTCACTTCCTTTTCATGCGTCTTAATGTTCTCAATCATGAAATAAAAGAGTGAGACAAAAATTTCTTTACGTTCTCACATTCTATGACCATCATGCTTATGGGCCTCTAGTCTATCCCCAGCCAATACATCTTTCACATCATGGCTAGGGTCTAGTGTTATCCCAACACAAATAATGCATATAAACTTTCAGCGAATTGCCACTGTCTTAGGAGTAGTACCCAGTCACTTGGATTTCAATGACAAGTAAAATAAAACAACATAAAAGAAGACTGATGTAAAGTCACCAACTTCTAATTTTTGCCAATTAAAGTATTAGACACAATACCATTATTTCATAAACTAAAGGATATTTTAACATAAATACATGGATATTTTACCACAAAATACATAAAGATATAATCACAGGGGAAGAAAAAGTAGGCCTTTATATTGGATAGATTTAACTTTATGGAAAAACTTCCTTCGTCATTTTGATTTTTGTAAAAAATAATAAATAAAATAATAAACCAGTGAAAAGTTTGCCTCTGATTACTACTGATCATGAACCAGATTTTGGGAACCGATGGTCTACAATGCAGAATTGGAAACAGATTGGCTGTAGAGTTATTTTTTGTTTTCTTAAAATTTTAAATTAGTTTCCAACATTTAAAAATCAGACTATTTCACATAGTAATCTGGATTTCTGCCTTCTCTTAAAAAATTGAAAGATTTGACAACACTAGGTCTGCATTCCCATAAGACACCAAATAAATGGCATTTAGTGGCAGTGGTTCCAATTCTCCACAGTCTCCACCACTTTCCATTACATTCCACCTGGTCCATTTCACTCATCTGTTACCTGCCTGGATAAAGCCTCCAGCATAAAGC